CCGACTGGGTTGTAGCTATGCAACGTAGTGATCCAGAAATACTTGAAATCCGAAATGAATTAGAGCAGGGTAACCAATCTCCGCACAAAAAGTTTACTATGTATAATGCACGAGTGTACGAAACCACGAAAGGTACTTGGAGGTTGTATGTGCCAACCGAGTTAAAATACGATGTCGTTGCGGATGCCCATCGTTCACTGGCCCACTTAGGCATTGATAAAACTCTTGCAAAATTAAACGAAACTTACTATTTTCCGAATATGAGGGATTTTGTAACGCGATACATTAACCGTTGTATACAATGTCTGTACTATAAGACACCGACGGGGAGAAAGGAAGGGTTTTTGCATCCGCTGTCGAAAGGGGACCGCCCCTTTCACACCATTCACGTAGATCATTTAGGACCTTTAGTAACAACGGCGTCCGGCAATAAATATGTCGTTGCCTCGATATGCGGTTTTAGCAAATATGTGGTACTAAAAGCTGTAACCGATACATCGACGTGCGAAACCGTTCGATTTCTACGCGAGCTTATGATGCACTATGGTAAGCCTGAGCGCATTATTTCCGATCGAGGCTCAGCCTTCACCGCGAAAGAATTTGAGGATTTTTGTTGCGAGTTACGAATTGTGCATGTAAAAATTGCTGTAGGTGCAGCCCGTGCCAACGGACAAGTCGAGCGGCTAAACCGCGTAATCACGCACTGCCTTGCGACGACAACTAATGAACTCGAATGGGACGAAAAACTATACGAAGTACAATTTGCGATTTACAGTAGCCAACATAAGGTAACAAAACGAACTCCTTTCGAGATTGTACTAAACTACCGAGCAACGGCAATATCCGATTCTCCGCTTGTTGATGAAATTCACGCGCTAAACCGACAATTAGGAAACGTAGCGATAAAAGAAGACGTTTCCGAGTTGCTAGAACGGAATCGAACTAAACTAAGCGACCAGTACAATAAGGGTAGAAAAAAATCTCGGGTTTTTAAAGTCGACGATATTGTATTACTGCGAAGCGACTCCCCGTCTACTGGAGAAAGCCGTAAACTAACTCCAAAATATCGTGGTCCGTACCAAGTAACCCAAGTATTAGGAAATGATCGTTATTTAATCAAGGATATTGAATGCGAACGTCAAAGTCAGCGTGAATATAGTGGAATTGTACCAGCAGACCGACTTAAATATGTCAGCGACGTTTCAAATTATCGAAAACCGTACACACGGGGCAGCGTAAATGTAATCAAGGAGATATTGTAAAAAGAAAAGAAAATGTACATGTATTGTAACCCCTACTGCAACGAGGACGTTGCATTGTCCAGCGTGACCGAACTGTAGCAAGCGTTATACTTATGCGTACGATGTATACAGGGTGTTCGGCCACCTCTAGCAAAAATTTTAATGAGCGATAGTAGAGGCCAAAATAAGACGAAAATCAAGAATACTAATTTGTTGATGGAGGCTTCGTTGCAAAGTTATTAACTTTTAAAGTTCCGCCTGTAGAATGACAATCCGCTAAACAGCTGGTTCGCGCGGACGGTTGCGGCAGGCGAGTGCTAGTGGTTCTCACGCAGCATGAAAAATTCTGCTTACCGACATTATCGACAGCCTTAGATTATTGTCCACTTATGGGAATGCGAACACCTTACGTTGAATAAGATTCAACCTGTCTTATGAAAATCCAGAAGGGCATATCAAAACTCGCCCGACGAGATTTTCACAGAGAAAGGGTGAATGCCAGTTCCAATACACAATGTTGTGAACAAAAATCACCCACATGCGATTATACACGCCCCACGATTGTCCACAGTGTCCACAAGTATCCACAAATAATCCTTTCAGGCACTAACCACTATGCAATTAAATAAACACGTACCGCGATTATGTTATTCGTGAATGTCTACGTGTACGTGTATCACGATTCTTCCGAGTTACTTACGAATAAAACTGTTATTAATTTTTCAAATACACTTCAATTTGAAAATGTAAACAGGAATTTAATAAGTATTCGCTGATTGTTTATATCACTGTATTTCTTACATGCTACTTAATACTCAACTGAAGTGTGTCGCGTGAACTAGCTTGACTGATACTGTTTTACGACTGACTAGCTGGCCGAACACGTGCCGATGATGCCCTTTGTCTCCGCTGTGTGTGAGAGAGATAAGCGAGGCGAGTGACGTAGAATCGGGGCCTGTTCGGCATATGTTTCTCTGAACCTCGTCGATCGATGGCACAGTCAGCTGCTAGTATTGTTACATTCTTCGCCGTGAACGTAAATCGATGCGAAAATTTCATTTATCCTGCGATTCCTTTTTACATTTTTAAATTGAAGTGTATTTGAAAAATTAATAACAGTTTTATTCGTAAGTAACTCGGAAGAATCGTGATACACGTACACGTAGACATTCACGAATAACATAATCGCGGTACGTGTTTATTTAATTGCATAGTGGTTAGTGCCTGAAAGGATTATTTGTGGATACTTGTGGACACTGTGGACAATCGTGGGGCGTGTATAATCGCATGTGGGTGATTTTTGTTCACAACATTGTGTATTGGAACTGGCATTCACCCTTTCTCTGTGAAAATCTCGTCGGGCGAGTTTTGATATGCCCTTCTGGATTTTCATAAGACAGGTTGAATCTTATTCAACGTAAGGTGTTCGCATTCCCATAAGTGGACAAAAATCTAAGGCTGTCGATAATGTCGGTAAGCAGAATTTTTCATGCTGCGTGAGAACCACTAGCACTCGCCTGCCGCAACCGTCCGCGCGAACCAGCTGTTTAGCGGATTGTCATTCTACAGGCGGAACTTTAAATGTTAATAACTTTGCAACGAAGCCTCCATCAACAAATTAGTATTCTTGATTTTCGTCTTATTTTGGCCTCTACTATCGCTCATTAAAATTTTTGCTAGAGGTGGCCGAACACCCTGTATACTTACGTGTTTGAAAGGAGGGGGCCCAGCCCGAGAACGAGAGAGAGAGAATGATCTACAGATTGTATATAAACACAACAAATTCGGCGTTCGGCCTATTCCGTCTCCGACTCGATTCTAACATATATAAAATTTAATTCGTTCTAAGATTTATATGAAACATTTAAAAGATTTTTTATACATTATGCCTATACATATATCGGAACAACTATGAAACAAGAGGTATAATCATTATTATCCATGGACTGATTATAGTCAAAGTCTAACCGGACTTTGAAATGAGAACATAAAACTTAAATGTAAAGTTTCATTTAAATTCATTTAGCTATTTATACTCAATCGTATTAATAATATACATATGTGTGCTCATACATGAGAATAAAAAAAAATTTCTTTTTTTTCAATAATTAAAATATGATCAGGAGGTCTTAAAACGTGTATTTCCGTAAAATAAATTTTACAAAATTTTTTTTTCATTATGGGTACTTTGCTTATATGCGCCTACATAGGTCGGAAAGTAAAAATGCCTGGGCAGTCGAGAATCTCGGCTCGAGAATCCAAATCGTATGCCGTTGACTGGAGCCGATCTCGCATAATCTCGAGCCGAGATTTTCGACTGCCCAGGCATTTTTGACTTTCCGACCTATGTGGCGTATACAATGTATAAGCAAAATACCATAATGAAACAAAAATTTCAAAAATTTTTTTAAAAAGAAGGACAGATTGACATTTTTGTTCTCATTAGTGTTTGCGGCGTGTTTGCGTGGAATGTGTCCGATATCTACATATGTATATAATCAATTCATTTTCCTTCAATAATTCTCCATTGCAAGAATTCTACAGTATTCTTACATTTTTTTATATTTTAAAATTTTCCCATGTTATTAGAGAGTAGATATACGACAAAAGTTATACAACTTATAGTTCCTAGCATGTATAACATGTATATGTATATAACGCATGGTCGCTTCGTATGGAAAGTCAATGAATCTTCAAAAAGCGCCCAGGTCCGATTTCGAGAAATGTAAGGTCTGTCAGTCACGATGGCTTTTGTCGTTTACTGACGATTCGAACGGGTGGCGATGCCAGCAGGCTTGCTTTCGAGAAATGTAAGCGACGTCAGCGATGCAAGAGCGAGAAGGAAAGCGAGTATCTGTTCTTCTCGGCTCTTCCGAAACTCTACGAACTCACGTACACGCAATTGGGCATAGGGTGTGAAAGTGAGGAATGAGGAGTTTCTGGGGCCCCCGATGTGCGGTCTAATAACACTGATTTTGAGTCGCAGATACATTTTTCCCTGGTTATTTTTTAAATAAATGATGTATTACGATTTAAAATAAAAAGAGGAGGATTTGCGGTGTACGTATCAATGAGATACATCTTTAGGTGTTTTAATAATCTTGAAATTTTTAAATAATCTTAATCGATTGATTACTCCAATGAAATTAATCGATTAATATCCAATGATGAACCGTACAGCTTTCATTCCGTTAAAAAATAATAAAATTTATGTAATTTCATTTTCTGTCTCCCTTCCTCTTGTGTTCATTTCTAAATCTGTTGGTAACGTTGTGAGTGACACGAAAATGGTAATGGGGCTCTAGAGCCCCAGAGAAACGGGCCGAAAAAATACATTAGGTGAAAGGTCTACTCGTATATCTCGTCTGTGGTATAACCTCCTCTGTGCTATAACACACTACAGAACACAACTCGAAAATTATTTAATTACTCATTTCCTCCAACTAATTATTAAACTTTTAAAATTCTATAATTAAATATAAATCCTCAACAATATTTCAATAAATTGTTCCTTTGAAAATTTCGACCATAATTAACGACTATAATATAGAATAATCTAATATTCATTTCAAAAAATCAACTTAAAACTAATTCCAAAAAGTTAACTCCGAACTGAGCAAATTAGGTGGAAAAAAACCTTGTACTCAAAATTTAGTTCGATATATCGATGAATATTTATTCGATTTGTGATTAATCGAGCATCAATCGACCGAGTTTCGATTAATATAGTTGGAAGTTTGTTTCAAAGATGGTGTCCAGGCGTAACGACAGAAACGTTTCGTGTTTAGATTTCAGCTGTTGAGTCCGTGCACTTATGGCGGCTCGTGAATCGGTGAATAAAAAGTTCTCTGTATTATTCGAAGAAGGATTCGTGGTTTTCGTTTAGAAATGACAGGCTTCACCGAAAGCGCACTGGTGAAAAGGTTAATGGACTTGAATCATTCGCAGCAGAGCATCCAGACACTTTCACTTTGGTTAATTCATCACAGAAAACATCATCCCACCATCGTCAAAGTCTGGTTCAAAGAAATGTGCAAAGGTACAATTGTTTCAGAATTTTTACATGTTACACGACACTAATAACGTTAAGAAATCGATCCAATGACAAACAAACAAGGTTCGACATTTTTATGTTTAGGTTAGGTTTGTAAAAATAGTGGTTAGAATGTGTCTTTGTATTCTTTAAAATATTTCGCATTTTTCTTTTTAGTTTGTCGATTTAGAACTGACATTTTATTATTTCAAAACTGATTACATATGTCAAACAAAAATTGACGAAATTTGTAGGTTAACTTTGTAGAAATTGTAAGCAGAATATAAATTGTGGAATCTTCACAGTACTTCGTTATCTTTCTTTAGTAATTCGTATTAATTCGCAACAGATGTTTTATCATTAAGGAATCGATTGAATGAAACAAACTAGGTTCGACAATTTTTGTTTTAGGTTAGGTTTAGGGAGAATTATTAACAAAATGGAAAGTTTAAACACATTAGAATATTTTGGTAGTTCTTGATGATTTGCAATGAAAATATTATTATTAAAAAATTGATTAAATGTCAAAATATAGTCGAAATTCTTAAATTAAGTTTGTAACAAATGTACTGAAAATACAAATCTTAAAATCTCCACAATATTTTCTTATTTTTATTCAGTAATCTAGTAATTCACAGAAATTATATCATTTCAAAACTAATTAATGTCTCATACAAGTTTCATCAAAATTTTTAGGTTAGGATAAAAAATTTCGTAAAAATTCTACTCAACACCATAAATTCTAAGACCTTCACAACTATTCCCTTATTTATATTTAGTAACCCATTAATTTTCAACGGAAACATTATCGTTTTGGAACTAATTAAATGTTGTTAAACAAAAACGTCGAAATTTTTAGGTTAACTTAGGTTAACTTAGTATAAATGCCCTTCAAACACACAAATTTTTTAATTTTCTCAATATTCCCCAATTTGGTCTTTTAATACGTTATCTCTACTTTCCAAACATCACAATCTTAAATTCCTTGAATTACAAACTCTCATCCCTCTTAACCATAATCGTGACCCTTATTCCAGTGAAGGACAACCGCAAATTAATGTTCATGTATCTAGCCAATGACGTGATCCAAAACAGCAAGAAAAAGGGCCCTGAATTTGGCAAAGAATTTGAATCAGTGCTTCCTAAAGCTTTTGAACATATGAAAGGTTTTGATGATAAAACTAGAGAACGACTGAACCGACTTCTTCAAATTTGGGAAGAACGTGGAGTCTACGACAAGGCCCAAATCACAGAATTTAAATTGGCTTTTGATACCTCTAAAGATCCTGGAACTCCTCCAAAGAAGAAACTGAAGAATGACATCGAAAAAGCGAAGGTATCTGCCCGTAAAATCTAATTTTGCTAAAAAATTTTGGATTGGAAATTTTAATTCTATTGTCACGTTCTAGAAAGAAAAGAAGGAGCGAAAGAAATCGGAGACGGAAGTGGAGGTCGATGGGACAAAGGAACTTCACGTGACGCTGAGCCCTAGAACTCCCGCTGGTGACCCTCCAGAGACGGAGGAACTCATCAAAGCGCTTATGGTGAATAATTTTTAGACAAAGAACTACTGCAAAGTTGAATGGGAAATATATCAATCCCCTGCATTAAATTTTTGGTTGAGACACCTGGTATCAAAGTATTGTGTTTCAGGACTTAGAGAACACAGCATCGTCAGATGCTGGTGTGAGAGAACGAATTGCATCCTTGCCGCCGGAGGTGTCAGAAGTATCGCTGCTTGCAAACCTGGCGGACAGGGCAGCTGCGGACCAGCTGAGCATCGCTGTGAACGAAGCCGCAGCTTTACTGGCAGATTATAATGGAAGATTACAGGCAGAAATGGAGGACAGAAGGCGGCTGCTTACTATGCTCAGAGATTATACCTTGGCCCAAAGGCAACTACTTCAGCAGGCGCAAACTACACTTGAAGTAAGACCTTTCTTTGATTAGAAATTGCTTTGTAATGTTAACGATTGTGTATTTTAGGACTATAAGGAGAAATTGAAAAAGGTCTGTGCAGTTAGATCGGAAGTCAAGTCCCACATTTCAAACCTTCCAGACCTAACACAACTGCCAGACGTCACCGGAGGCCTTGCGCCTCTTCCTTCAGCTGGTGATTTATTTTCCATGCACTAGGAGCGATTCGAATTGGTGAAACTGCTGAAAACTTGTCTATGAGAAGTCTGGAGAAGCTTCAAAATTTCGAATCGTATGAATCGAAGATTTAGGAATCGAGTTTGGTGAGGATCCCAATAATTGCTACGTGTATATATATTGTAACGTGATTCTGGGAAGGCAAATCGAAGAAAAAGTGGTTTTCGAGACTCTGTGGGGAGATTATAATGATGCGAATAAATGTTTTGATCGTTATGGTGCATTTTTAATTCGATTATCCTTTTGATAACTTGTAACAAATTTTTCTGTCGCAGATTTAAAATCGTAAATGGATGCAACGATAAATTAATTTCAACTGTGAATCACTGTAATTAAGTTGAAAGGTAATCGGAAACATAATATAAGTTTATTAACGCAAAAGATTGGTATAATGATATATTTTTGCGAACTTGTTGCAAGAAACAGTTTTGACTATGAATTGGGAAAACTCATTTTGCAATTACTGATCCAGGAGATTGGTACAAAGCAATTTAAACTAAGTAAACGATTGCTTCCAATCGTTTCAACTCTCGGCGAGTTGCATCACAATATAAATAGGAGTATTTACGAAAGTATTCAATTACAATAGATTCTATTAACAAGAAACTTAGAAAATACATTAATTATTGCTTTCCATGATCTTTGCATGTGTTTTACTGTCTATTTTACATTTTCCTTAATTATAATTAGTACAATATTAATTGTAACTGATAATAATGATTGGAACTTGGACTTTGAACCCTAATAGTTTGAGGTACATAATTAATCGTGACAGACACTACCAACTGTAATTTAGGCACCGAGCCCTCATTACTAAATTAAATAATAGTTTCAACTCATTTTCAATTATAAAAAATGTATATCGAAACCTTCAACGGACGATAAACATTGAAAACCCAATCATTGAAGATTGTAGGAGATGGGTTTTAGGTATCGTGAAGATGCAAGGGCCTAGTAGGTTTGAGAATGAGCTTTCCAGTGTCATCGCAGCTCATGTTAAAGTCTCCAAGCACGATCCTAGCCCTCTGAGTTATGATACTTGGTGCTATCACTCGTCTGTGGACCCCCAGCATGAATAATATTACTGAAATCATAGTAATTTTGATGAATATTGATTGGCAAGAAGATTAGGATTTCTAGTTTTTACCTAGAATGATGCTAGCTATGGCGAAGAATGGGTGGTTGTAGAGACTTTGGGTAAAGGAAACAGCGGATGTGTTGGGATCTGTTAGCCAATGCCACGCACCCACTGCTGTGCACACTGATATGAAACCTAGCAACACTAGAAAGGAATTAACAATGTCATTGAAGAATTACTTTGAATCGTTTGGTATTATTAGAAAAAAATTATGCTTTTGTAGTTCTTGGTTTGTCCCCACCAAAGGATAATATAATTGAAAAAAAATCTGTTTAGTAGTGATACAATTTCCATCTTTGAAATAAAATTTAAAATTTAGTTACGATGAAACATAATAGCATAAAGGAAGCAAAAACTGTGAAATTTTCTCATACTATTAAAAAGGAAAAACATACAGTTCTTAAATAAGAACTACTTGAAACATTATTTTTATATTAACTATACTTTCAACATTTGTTAATTTTTGAAAAAATAAACAATCATACTTCTCCATCTTAAAGTTGCCGGTTGTAAACTAATAATAACTTCTGTAAGACGTCTTTCGAAAGCCTTCAAATCTGAAATTAATTACAGAAAACTGAGTTATAACCTCAAAATCATCCAATAACCTAAACGATATTATTATTATCGTAATTTCCAAATTTTTTCTAAATAAACAAAGAAATGAAAGGTGGAATGAAACGAATTTTTATTTTTATTTTTACCTTCACAAACCGTTTGATCCAAAGACATTTTTATTTATTTTCCAAGATCACGTGACGTCCAGTTGATAAAATAAGCAGCTCCCATTCTGATTATTATGGAAAGGATTGTTTTTTTTAAATAAACACCTAATCCAATTCATGCAATTACCTGTTTGACTTTCCCATTAATTTTCCAAAAGAACGTGACTTCTACTCCATAAAACAAACAATTGCCATTCATAATAATTGTTTAATTAAACAAATAACTCGATTTACTCGTTTTTTCTTATCAATTTACTACGACTTCAATAATTCACTTTGAAGGTTTCATTAATAATTAAAATTCCACGAAATTGAAACGTATGTGTAATTTTCTGGGGGAATTATAGTGATTTTGTATGGATAGTGAACACTGATCTCGATACAATAAAAATTCGATATACTATGTCCGAAAATTGGAACCACAAATCACGCGATTACGAAGTAGACGAGTTGTTTATAATTAAAGAAACAGTCCAAATTGCTCGAGTCGTATATTGAACGTAGAGAAGGATAACGAGTAAAAGGGAAGAACGTTCCCTCAGCAGTCGATCTTAGCAGTATGTCAAGGGGAATCTCAGTGGCAGGGATGAGCACCAGGCAGTGTGGCCAGATCTGGCATAATCAGTGTGGCCAGATCGGGCATAATTTAGTGCATCGAAATCGACAACAGTGACGACGAACTTCCTTAGCGTCTAACGGAATGGTGGGGATAGCAGGCATACGCTACCGCACGAGCCACGTGTACGTGAGCTCGGCGCTTGCGCACAACTTCGGGAAATCGATAAAGAACGATAGTGTGAGCCTTTCCTTCTTGCTTTTGTAAAAGACAAAACAACTGAAATACGACCTCGCGATAAGTGGCATACGATTCCAAGTCTCGACCTCGACTGCCCCAGCATTTTTACTTTCCGACCTATATGTAAGGTATAAGGAAATTTATAATCATAATGAAAAAAAATTTTGAAGTTTTTTTTTAGCGGAAATACACGTTTTGGGACCCCCTGATCATATTGTGACTATTGAAACAAACGATATTTTTTTTTGTTCCTATGCTATTAACATGAATGCATTAAACGACTAAGTAAATTTCAATAACGAAAAAAATATTTCGAAATTTTTTTTTAGCGGAAATACACGTTTTAGGACCCCCTCATCATATTGTGACTACTACAAAAAAACATATTTTTTTTTTGTTCCTATGCTATTGACATGATTGCGTCTAAACGGCTGAATGAATTTCAATGAAACTTAACATTTAAGTTTTATGTTCTCGTTTTAAGGTCTCATTCTATTTTAAGCGTGATCAGCTCCCATATAATGATGATTATACGTTTTTAGTTTTATAATTATTTCGATACATACACATCATTTGTAACAAATTTTTAAAGCGATTTATATAAATCTTAAGAAGGATTAAGATCAAATATATTTTTCTCCTATCTTTCCTAGACAGGAAAAATTAAACGAAATCTTATGCCTTGCATACCTACCTAAACCACATAAAAAACGTATTCCACAAATATTTTAGAATAATGTTGTTCAAAGCAGTCTTACTCGTAAAGGGTTAATTAAGGGTTAATTAAAATGAAAAACCACTCTTAGCCAGTACCGTGCACGCTACAGAAATAGATTACTACTGACTTTTCCCACTATGTTTTTTAATAACCGTATCAAATTGTTACACACAATCAAATGTTATATATTTGACTTAACTTTACATAACAAAATAATTGTAACGATAGGTAAAAGAATAACGTGCACGCTACCGTTCAATGGAAACCACGGGAAGGTGGTGGTCACTTCCATCAGGAGGGAAATGTAAAAAATTGTTATTTCTTTGTAACATTATCACATGCCGTATATTAAAATGTTTTTATTAATGTAATGAAATTACAATATAATGAAAAACTAACTCGTGAATGCATTAATTTTTATTAATATACACACGAGCCATAAAAATGGAAAAATGATATAATTGTTTACATTTCCAAAGGATGGGATGTCGAGATAGGACGTTTGCGATTAAGCTGGCACGTTATGTCGTGCATTGTTGCTCTTACGGTACCGTGACGTAAGTGTAACAAGGCGCGACATTCTACGTCATAGCCACACTATCTACAGCAAGCAATTTCACTAACTAAAAATATACGGCAAAATATAAGCAAATAAATGAAGAAAAAAAATGATAGTTAGAGCAAGCAGAATAGTATTTACAGCAAGCGAAATACGTAAAAAAAGTAACAACGCGAGACAAATTGAACGACTATTTACATATTAGCGATGTCCAAAAAAAAATATTTTGGACATCACTAACAAGACTGCGGTTGCAGTGTAAGCGCTTTCGCGTGACGTTATGGCACATACATGCATCACACCTTGTTGCGCCTACGTCGCGGTACCGTTGACGTAACAAGACCAGTCTACCGCGACGTCGCATGAAAACGTTTATACTGTCATTGCAGCCTAATAGTACGAATTTACTAAAGAGCTTTTCTCTGGAGAGAAAAATCTCTCTAGAGAAAAGCTCTGTAGTAAA